GAGCATACTCACTACTGTGACTGAAGAGATTAGTTCTGAAAATTTTACCCACACAGACGTAATTGTGTTCCAGGATATGTGAAACCAGCTGTGGGAAAAAGATCAGCAAGCATATGTCAAAGGATGTGAAAAAAAAAAACCCAAATTTCATCCAAACTCCCTGCTGGGCACAGAGTATTGCACCTCATCACCTTCAGAAGGTAAATTTCTTTAAAGTTTTCCCACCCAACCACAATGGAGCTGTCTATGCAGTTTTACACAGATCCCCAGCTGGTGTAAGACAGTGTGATCTCCACTAACTCTGTTTATGTTCATGGAGGATTTGGCCCAAGGTGTTAAAATATTTACTGCAGAGAGACTCACAGATCTGTTATAATTACATTTTATCTACTGATCAAACCTCTGACTGTTCCTAGTGCCTTAATTACCAAACTTGGATTCCTTCCAGAAAGAGATAAACACCACCAGACAGATGGGCAGAAAAAGGAATAATTTAACATTTCCCTGGAGAAATGACAGAGAAGAAATCATTTAACAATAAACAGAATTAAGCAAAGATTAAGATGTTCGGTAGGCATTGTTCATAAACAAAATCAGATGCACTAGAAAGGGGCACAAGCCATGTTATATCCCCATGTGCCTAGCTAGTCCCTGGTGCCTGCTCACTGAGGATCCTCTCATCCAGGATCAAATAACCCTTTTTAATGGACTTTTGACATTCCTTACATGGGTTACTCAGAGGTCTGGAGCAACCCACCATTGGGAAATTTTTCTTGTTATTCCACCTGAGGTTTTGCCTTCTTTTGGTTATCACAACTTCAGCTTTAAAAGCTCTGTGACCTGGTGATTGCAGTTCTACTACACTTGTCTTACACTGTTTTTGCAATAATTTGTTCCATTATTCAACCGAAGATGGAAATTAAAGTAACACACTGGTAACTCATATTAATCAACACAACTTCCTAATTCTACAAAAGGCCACAACAAGCTTTCCTTAAACATCAGGAAAGCAAAAAGGTATTCAGAAATTTTGCAACAAAGAGTACACACCCAACCCTCTGGGGTGCCTGGGGTCCATGAGCAAGAGCACCAGGAAATCCCTTGCAAGTCCTTTCCTGGATGTATATTATACACACATGCTGTTGGCTGTCAAAGAGCTTTCCATACAGACCTCACATGCATATATTCAAAAAAACTCAATCTAAACAAAACACTGCTCTGCCTGCACCTTTCCTACAAAACAAGAGGCCAGAATCACAGTCTATACATAGCTGGTTTGTTTGCTGTACTGCTGCAAGGTGCTCAGAGATGGGAAGGATGTGCCAAGCTTGTAGACACCATGTTGGCTGCTTCAAGCAGTGTGGTATGGGATGTACTCCAGCTGGTGGCTTTTAGTTTGCTGTCCAGGACCTGCAGATTAATTTTTAAGGATCTCAAATGGTTGAAAGAAAATAAGATTAACATCCAAGCATTTAAATGCACTTCCACAGAAAAACCATAGGAATCTGTATATGTTGTACTTTCATTAAGTAAAAACTTTCTGGTATTAGCTTATTAAATCTTAAACTTATCAAATCCATGCATAGACATGGTGCTTAGGGACATGGCTTAGGCGTGGATTTGGCAGTGTTTGATGTATTGTTGGACTTGATGATTTTAAAGCTCTTCTCCAACCAAAATGAGTCTATGATTCTATGAAAAAAGTTGGAAAAAAAACTGTTCTCAAAAGGCAATGTGGGAGCATTCCCTATTTCTATACCAAATCTATAAAAAAGGCCTGAAGGAAGATGAGCATGTGTTGCTCTGCAGTCTCATCTTTTCTGCTCACCTGCCTTCCGCTTCCTATGGGAACTATCTGTCCAAACTCAGTAAGCAGAAAAGAAGTTCAGCCTGAATCTTACCAAGACCCCAAGCAATATCCAAGAACATAATGTGCGTGTAGAAAACAGTGACTGAGAGGGAAAAATCCCACTGTACAGTCATCAGTGGACAGGCAGTGTCAAGAGTTCAGTTCATTTCTATGAACTGGTTCTTAGGAGACTTGCCAAATAACATGCAAGGCAATGATTTCACTGCTGAAGTGGTCATTCCTTCAGTGTAAAGTAATTAACCAAATCTGGGCCCTGTCCCTGCACAGCACCCAAGCTTGCCTCTTCCTGACTTAATTTGGTCTTTCATTTTGCTATTCCTGGTACATAGTATAAAATATTGTATCATATTTCCTAGAAGAATAAAGGAAGTGACATACCTTGCTTATCAGAGGTGAAAGGCAGACATAATTTAAATACAGATCTTTTGAAGATACTGCATCTGAGGTTTTTTGGTGGTTTTTTTTTTTTTTTGATTCCTTAAATCAGATTTAACTCTAAAGTCATTTGGAACTTTAAAATGAGCACAGATTTCCCAGTTACATTATTACAGTTTTAAAAATAGTCCCCTGCATCAGATGCAAAACAATTTATCTGCAGTATTAGTCTTCATTAGTTATATTACTAAACCACTCAGGAGACTGAGCTGTGAACAGCAATCACCGTGAGAAAGTCTCTATACAAGTAACGCAGACAATCATCTTTTGACCTGTTTTTAACATTTACAGAATTTGAGCCAGATTAATCCAAGGAGCAACACAAAAGAAACCAGTGAAATGACACCCTGGGTCAATTTAGTCCTCTCCCTCAAATCTTCAGTCAATACTCATCTATTTTCTTAGATACATTTCCCATTTTCCCTTTTTAAACACATTCTGTGTCATATGTCATACACCACCCCTTAAAATTTGGGTACAGCATAAAATCTCCTTTTACATTTTTTAACCATCCAGCACTCCCTCTTGGTCTTCACAGTGATACCAACTTTTTCCAAAGTAGCAAAACTGAAGCAAGACATTAGTCCCAGAAAAGTTTGCTGTTGTCTCTTCAACACTCTGTTGTCAGTTCAACACCACCAATGATATATGCAGGCAGGCTGGACCAACAAGCTCTGAAATGCTCCTGCTGGCAGCTCTCAGGAGAGGAGCTCTTCTCAGAGCAGCTAACGTCTGCTTATGCCTTACTAAGTGCAAAGCACAGAGAGCCCAAAGTGGACTGGTGGATGCAGCTAATGCTGGGGAGGGGGGCACAGAGCAAGAGGTGCCAGAGAATGGGGGGAGATGGACACAGGGGGTGTGGCTGAGGCGATATGGCACAAGAGTGAGCCATTGCAGCGGAAGTGTCCAGTGCCTGGGAGGCAGATGGGTGGGGAGAGACACAGGTCTTCAGCTCACATAAACTATCCACCAACTTCAGCACATCAGCTCACCAGACCACTTTAAACCAGGTGGAAACCTGTACCCAAATACTCTTCCATGCGTGACATAGGAGGGTGGATTTACAAGCAACAATAAGGCCATGATGCACACCATGAGCAGCTCCTCCAGCGACTGTGCCAAAAAAAGTACTATGTCATACAAAGCTGTGCTGCAACTCAACACAGAAGAGCAAATAATAATGATACATTCTTCAAAGAATTGGGATGAAATGCCCAGGTAGTCCCTTTCTGTTTGCTACAGTAACTAGTGAAAAAGAGAATCCAGATTCTACCCTGAGATAGAATATTTCTTCTGTGGTTATTGTCTCTACACAGATAAAACTAGTAACTGGAAACAGCAATGTCTTTTCAATGGCTTTCTTCACTGTGTGGGCAGTAGCACAACACACTGCAATGTGTACTGCAGTTAACAATGCTACTGGTTTTACTCTGAGAGAATAATGTCAAATTAAGGGGTTGATCCTGCAAACACTTAAAACTGCCCTCACCTTCAGGAATTCAGTCATCTCTTTTTTTCCTTTAGTGTGTCAACTGCTGTGCCCGTGCACAGGACCTACATTTTATAGCTAGCGGCTAAGGTTGAGTCACAATCCTACACTGTAGAAAGGGAGAAGCTCACGGACAACCGCAATGCCATCGCAACTCAGTGTTAAATGAACAAATGTTTCATGTGATGTTACACATCAAAGGTGTCAGCTTGAATAAGACAGTAGTCCTCTACCAGCCTGCACCCCAAGAAGATTATCGCCATCCCCATATTACCATCGGCGAGTCAGAACTTAAGACAGTTCAGCAGTTCAGCTATCTGGGAAGCATCATTTCCTCGGATGCCACGATCGATAGAGAGATAGACAACAGAACAGCAAAGGCATATAGTGCCTTTGGAAAACTCCATAAAAGAGTCTGGTGTAATAAACACCTGAAGAAAAGTACAAAGATCAGTGTCTACAGAGCCACTGTATTGTCTACTCTTTTATATGGGTCTGAATCATGGGTCATCTATCGTCATCACCTGCGACTCCTGGAACGCTTTCATCAGCCTGCCTCCGTACAATTCTAAACATCCATTGGACTGACTATGTGTCTAATGTCACTGTCCTCGAACAGGCAGGGGTCACCAGCATCGAGGCCACATTGCTGAAACTGCACTGCGCTGGGCAGGGCACGTCTCTAGGATGAAGGATCACCGCCTCCCCAAGATCGTGTTTTACGGTGAACTTGCCACGGTAGCCGCAAGAGAGGTGCCCCAAGAAGAGATACAAGGACTCCCTGAAACAATACCTTAGCCTTGGCCATATTGACTACCATCAGTGGTCCACCTTGGCCTCCAATCGGGAGACTTGGAGGCACACCATACATAATGCCGCTGACTCCTTTGAGAGTTCACGAAGAACTAGTCTCGAGGAGAAAAGACAACGCAGGAAGAATCGTGTCCCACCTGTTCCACCCAAGGAGACCTTCTGCTGTGCTTTTTGTAGCCGGATTTGCCTATCCCACATTGGCCTTCTTAGTCATCAGCGCGCTTGTAGTAAGCGTGGGTAAATGCCCTTCCCAAATCTTCGTTCGCGAAGTCAAGCCATGATGATGGTGTTAGAAACTGAAATTCATTATCACCAGAATGATGGGATTTCCCCAAACTTTAATTTCCTAAGTTGTGAGAAGCAGACACTGTAAAGATAGATCCAAACTAGCAATGAATTTAATCATTTTCTTTCTTTAATGCAAAGACAGGCAAAGGGAAAATTGTAAAGTTATTAGCGATGCAGGTGTCTTCTGATTTCACTGTTCTTATGGCTTCTGTTGTTGTGTTCTGAATTAAAAAGAAGACAAGATACAGTTATCAGTAGCAAGGACAGAATAGTTTCTTTAAGGGATGCTTGTGTCAAAGCATTGCTTATTGAGGAAGTTTATATAAGCATCATGTCCCGGTACCTAACCCACCAGAATAGGTCAATAAAGAAATGCTAGAGAAAAGTTGCTTTTCCTCTGCAGCCCATCCTGACTGAGCCACTGCTGCTGCCACAGACCCTCTGTGTGGCCTCTTCCTGCTGCTTTGTTATCATTCAGGTCCCATCACTGCCATTGTTTCTGATTAATCCCGAGGATGACTCAGAATAGTTGTCATAATGCAATACCTTTCTGATGCTACTTCACATGAAATCACTTGTGTTGCATACAAGGAGGGTAAACAGAGTACCTCTCCCTTTTAAAGGTAGAAAATGAGAATCTGGGGAACCATTAAGCTGTCAGTCTGGAAAGAGACTAGTGCAAATTATTAAACAATTTGCTTATAAACACCAGGAGAGTAATAAAGGGATTAAAAAAAGCCAGAGTGGATGCATCAAGAACACATTGTACCAAACCCAAACTAATTTCCCTCTTTGACAGGATTACTGGGAAAGGAGAAGGTAGTAAATGTTGGATATCTTGATTTCAGTCATGAGAAACTAACAACATAGTTTCCAGGAGCATCTGCCTGCAAAATCATGTCCCAGCAAGTTGTCCTCAGTCTGATAGCACGTGTTGCCATTGAGCTCCCGAAGTGGTCCATCCTGCTCAACTGTACTCAGTATTTCCATTAATTGTTTTAATAATGAAAAGTAAAATTTCAGGAATATGCAGGTGTATAGTACAATAAAGTTACAATAAAGTTCGTACACACCAAGGAGGGCAGGACGTGCTTGTGATGTCTGGTAAAGCAGAGGCCACAGACAAACCAGAGCCAGCTACGTCTGGGCAGGGGGCAGGAAACGTGATGCTGATGGGGAAGGGAATGCTCTCCTCTCCCGTGCTCATGCAGCTATGCCAGATCAATGATGCATTGTCAATTTTATATCCCTATGAATATAGGTATATGTTACTGTGTAAATTAGGGTTAGCTGTCACTCTAACCTAATTTGAGATTAATTAGTGACCTAGTCTGCCTTCGACTAGCTTCTTTCATATCCTCTGAGCAGGAAAAAACTACTGAAATTAAAAATAAAAAAAACCCAAGATACCTTACATGGGCTGCCACTAAGAGCTTATTTAGGTAAGACTATGTGCCCCCAGACCTGTCCAATGATGTTATTTATTTTAGAATAGTTAGCAACAAATATGTGACTCTATGTTTAACAAAAGCAATGGCAGCTGGTAACATTGACAGGCAAGCTCTGTTTTTCTGCTATTTACTGTTATAAGAGGTATTGATAAGAGAGCTAGAGGGAAGATACACATTTCTCTCCATCTGCTTTCTTATAGCACTGTAAGGCACAGAATGAAAGGTCTCCATAGAATCAAGTGGAGAAAATAATAACTAGGTGTGAGATAAGGACAAAATCTAACTTGCACTTTTTCCATCTCAAACTCATCCCACCAAACCTTCCAGAAAGGTGGTGTCAGATGTTGAAGCCTTCTGCCAGGAGAATTTGACCCTTTCCCATGGTGTCATGGAGCTTTTAGATTTCCTTTCTGTTTTAGGGATTTATTAAAGTCAGTCAGATAGATGAGTCAGTCCATGGGAAGTCTACAGCAGTGGGTACCCCTTTTCTGAGGGGAAATGTCTGTCTCCTCACCAGGGAAACTTGTCACAATCTCCTAGAGCTCAGAACAATTCAAATCCCGGTTAAAAAGCTTTATTAGTGTGCAGGAGGGGAGCCCTCATCACCGATGGCTATAACAGGTATCTCAGGTGAGATGGTGAAGCAGCATCATGAGCAAGCAGACTCTGAGTTCCTCCTCCACCCAGTGCCCCCAAAGGTCACCTTTATTCACAGAAAGAAAAATATCATTCCCCTCATTTCACAGTTACAGAACAATAAAACTACCATGAAGCACTGGAAAACATAATGAGAGATCATCTAGCACTGAAACAGGGATCCATCCATGGGTAACCCACAGTCAGCACAAGATATCACTGGGACTGTTCTCTGTGCTGTTTAATGACCCACTCTAAAAGGGGAGTAGTGCGGGTTTCCCAAAAAGGACCACTCCCCATTTAACAGTCCTGAAGGCTGTGTTTCATAAGTAATCTCTTGGAAGGTAATGGAATGTCTTGTGTTAATATTACGACCACATTTTTGCTTTATATATATTCTCCCCATGTTTCTGGTAACAGATTAGGGCACTGGAATGGGAAAAATTCAAACAACTCCATTTGCTTTCACTACTTACTCTGTTAGCCCCCAGATTTAGACAAGTCAGCAGCAGACTTCCTTAACATCAATATTAATTTTAATTTCATGTTCTTGTTCTCTCACCCAATGTCACATTGTTTTCAGAAAGAATCAACGACAGTCAGGCCAAACAAGCTGTCAGCAATGAAGATGTTTCTGTTCCCTGTCACATTTCAAACTTACTCACCACAAAACTCACAAAGGAGGATTAGAGGAAAGAAAAATTAGCAGCCACTTCCCAATCGTTTGTTAACAATCATTCCCTACCATCAGTTCAGTTTCTTACCCTCATCATATTTTGATTAAGAGTGTATTGGAAACAAAAGGAATCCTCCAGAAATCCTCCTCTCTGCCCTCATCTCAGCTACAACAAAGGGAGCAACCATCTCCTCCCTGTGCTGGCATGGAAAAAGTGCAAAACGCATCACTCACAGAGGGTGGTTAAACACCCAGGTTTAGGCTACTGCTTTATTAAAAGTCTCTTAATGGCCACTAGATGGGGAGAGAAACTTACTGTCCCCGGGTCCCTGGAAAATGTGTGAGCAGTACAGTGTGTTCTCACTCCAAACCCACAGTTTTAACCTGATCTTTTCCTTCCCTCAGCTGCTGATGAGTGGTAGGGCCATGAACTAGATACAATTGGAGACAAAGAAATCGTTCAGTATGACCTGCAAGTTTCATTTGTGGTCTGTAGCTTTACTGAACTCTGTTGTAATCCCTGAGATATCGGGTCTTAAATTTGTTGATGGTGCAAGGGTGAGTTTAATATCACACATGGGAAATGTTGTCCCGGAGTAATTTCTAGGGGAAAGTAAGTTCCTCTTTGGTTATTAAATAGAAGATACTTAAAGAAAGAATTGGGTTTGCAACTTGAGAGTCCCAGAAGAGAAGGATCAAATTCAGAAACTTTAAGAAAGATAACTGAAAGACATAAGATAAGAATCATCCCTCCAGATACTTCAGACACGCTTATATTACCTATTTCCAAAAAATTTAGTCATCTACGTTCTCACTAGATAAGTACTTATAGCAGTGTCTGGAGTCTTTGGAGGAGATGATCTCCCTGAGGAGATAGCAGTTATTCTTTGTTGATAACACCATAGACAGATCCCCAACTCCAGCAGTTTTGTGAATTGCATCCCACTAGTTGGCATGAATCTGGGACTATGTGTCTACATATTGCCATTGCAGAGTAATGTGGACCCTAGCAGTGTTAGCTCTAGACGGCAATACAGGCAACATCAGGCTTCAAATTTTTCCAGTGAAGATATACAGGCAGTGACTTGATGAAGGTGCTCTGCACTGCAGTGACTAGTCTCTACTAACACCCAGCTGGCTAGTTTAAAGCTGGATTGGGTCTGTCTCTATAACTCTGCATCACAGATATGGCTGCAGCATAAACATGTCCTCAGAAACCCAGACTACTGGTTTTTACTTCAAAGACAGAAACAGAAGTTCTCCTTCTCACTTGCAGTCTTAGCTGAGAACTACAACAGCGCCCACAAGCAACTGTGGTTGCTATAAAAAAATCAGGCTGTTAGTCACCTTTCAGTAACAAATACCTTGAAAGCACTTGGCTTCAGTTACTGTAAGTTTCTCACTTCATGCCTGGTAGTAAATATCATCCTTCAAACAAGATGTGAAGGTTGCCATGGAGCTCCAAAATCCTTTTGGTCCAAAAGAAGTTAGCGTTTTAACAATAACGTTTTGATGAGGATATTGCGTGTGGTCTTTTTCCTCCACATTCCCTGATAGAGGGATCATTACCTATGACCAAATAAGAGATGTACAGCTACAGCACTCGTCTGCCAAGTTCAGTGTAACGTACTTCCAAGAGGAACGTCTGGCTCTGTAATTTTGTTCCTTGGCAATGCAGCTGTTGTCTATATGGCTGGTTGCCCTTCTGCTGGCAGCTGTAAAACTGTATCGGGGCATGCTTTGGACACAGATTGCTTCTTTATGATGTCTGGATGTCCTTTCCTTCATCCCACACTTGCCTATACCTAGGAACAATTTTGCTTTAGAAATGAGTGCAAGGTGTAGTCCTTCAAATTACGCCTCACTGTAAATGGAAGGAACCAGGGAAGCAGAGAAGCATGGGACAATTTACACACTCACTAGAATTAGCAGCAAGTGTTAGTGACCACAGTAAGACTACTTGCGGTTAACAGGCACACATAATATTATATGCTGTTCCCACAGAATATCAGAGAGAAAGGAACTCCTGTCCCAACTGCAAAGCCATTTCATGGAAGCTTTGCTGAGATCTTGAGTGGATCTGAGACAGAAATTAGCAAGCTTTCAAGAGAATTCAAATAGAAGATTTATCTGTTCAACAACAGTAAAAATACATGATGTACATTTGGGGTCACCACCATTAAATCCACACAGGGAGAATATAGCATTAACAACTGCAGCACTTCTTAAACACACACTGACCACTGGCACACTGTGTCACCTAACTGTCCAGTGCATCCATAGCTTTTCAGAAACCGTTGAAGTTTTACTCCAAACACAGAGGATAAACATCACAGAGCAATGGCCTGAGGCTAAAAGGATCAGGGATTTTCATTTATGCTGGAGGAGAAAATACTAGGTGGGAGAACCAAGTCATGAGCCAAGAACAGATGAAAATATGGGTAGTACCATGGATACCTTAAAACTACCTTCAGCAGGTAGATTGGAGAAATGAGCTATGCAAGGGATGTGTGGAACAAATCTGCTTAATGCTATACAGTGTCCACTGTTGGACAGAGCTTCATACTCCACACTGCTGAGCCACTAGATAGTACTGAATGATGCTTTTGTGTTGTATAATGTACCCTTTTACACCAAAGGGGAAACAGATGGAGGTGTTTGCAAACTGGGCAACAGCAAAAGACAGAAAAGATTGTAAACTATTGAAGACTGAAGAATCAATATGGAGAGGATGGAGTCCTTGATTGTAGCAATGAGATCATAGCAGGAATCTGGGGTAAAGTCATGAGACTCACTGTGAATGAAGACACATTTTCTGAGAGAGCATTTCAAGTTTGTCAAGAAATGATAAAAGGATGTCCTCCTTTCCAGATAGAGCATACACTGGGTGAACATTGTCATCAAAACTGCATTAGGGTAAAGGAACCTGAGACAAAATACCACATGAAACCAAAAGTATAAGTAGGTCCACCAAAACAAGAGAATGCTCAGATTTGCACATACTGTGGCCATTATCACAGTGTCTGGCAAAAATAAATAAATAAATAAATAAAAAGGTAATTTAGATAATTTGAGGTGTCCAAGCATTCCTATGCACAGTGTCCTTACACCAGAAGTGGGCAGAGCAGGAGCAAAAGGTTAACAAGAGCACTGGGAACAGTTTTCCATAGAAACAACGAAAAACATAGAATCATAGAATCATAGAATAGTTAGGGTTGGAAAGGACCTTAAGATCATCAAGTTCCAACCCCCCTGCCATGGGCAGGGACACCTCGCTCTAAACCATATCACCCAAGGCCTCGTCCAGCCTGGCCTTGAACACTGCCAGGGATGGAGCATTCACAACCTCCCTGGGCAACCTATTCCAGTGCCTCACCACCCTCACAGGAAAGAATTTCCTCCTTATATCCAATCTAAACTTCCCCTGTTTAAGTTTTAACCCATTACCCCTTGTCCTGTCGCTACAGTCCCTAATGAAGAGTCCATCCCCAGCATCCCTATAGACCCCCTTCAGATACTGGAAGGCTGCTATGAGGTCTCCACGCAGCCTTAATCAGAATTTTTTCATCAGAAGATGAAAAAAAAACCCTCTCTCAGCTAACAAAAGAAACAACCCTTCATTTTAGTTTAGTTTACAGGTGACAAGGGTATGTCCCTCCAGGAACAGTGACATTAGGGGTGTTAAAAGCCTCCTGCTACCTGCCAGCTCCACAGAGAGTAGGAGTTTTGATAAACCATGATAACAGGGGTTGGTAGCTCAGGGTGACAGAAATCCTGCTTTTAAACTGTAATGCTTCCACTTTAATTCTCCATGTTTTTTCCATCAAACAGTTGGAACGTTCCCCAGGATTCAAACCGCAGTTGGCCCCTGACACTCAGTATAACCTTCTGAGCAGACAAACCCACTGTTTTCTGTCAGGTACAGCTGAATGTTTGTTACAGCTACCTGGTGAGTTGCTATGAAAACTAGTGTCAAATTAATAAAACTTTAGCAAAAAAAAATGGCAAAGGGTCAGACCCAGCTCCATGTTTGTGGCTGCTAATTACAGAGAGGAAGGAGAGGCTGGAATATCACCTGCTCAACCCTACTCTTATCCATAAAATGCCTTTGCGGCTGGATACAGATGTTAACTGTGTGAAGAGAAAGAGAAGGAGAAGCAACTAGCTTGTAAGGATTTGAAAGCCCAAGTTTTCCCCTGCATCATAAAAACAAAGCTGTGTGTATCCACAGCTAACAGCTGTTAGCAGTTGCCTATAGTAAGAGGTAACCTCATGGTTATGTGAAATTGCTTGCCTGATCAGATTTGTCCTGCTCAGATGTAAAAGTGGTTTCTATTCTCTGGAAGGAAAGAAAAGAGGTGGGATGCTGTTGTGCAGCTGAGAAGGTCTCATAGCTATATTGTCATAATCTCTTGGGTTTCAAGCCCGTGTTGAATCCACTCTTCTCAAAACCCCGATTTTACCAACCTGTTGGTTCCTGAACTGATTTCTGTTGGCTGGGAACCAAGGGACTTTCCAGACAAAGAAATTCATTTGCAGGGAAGCATCCAGAGTTAGATTTTGCCCCTTGGGGCAGAATGGCTGCAGCTGATGTGAGCTGTGTGGTGTGTGCTGAAAGAGAAAATACATAATGTAGAGATAAAAATTTCCCTTCTGTTTCACTGTAAGGCACAAATAACTCTCACTTCCTTTGCATTAATGCAGCTCAAAAGCAGATATTAAGATGATGTATGCTCTGCAATTTGTATTTTTAACCACAGTGGTTTAAAATGTATGTTGATTCAGGCTGGATGGGAGAAAAGAAACTCTTTACAATGAGGGTGGTAAAATACTGGAACAGGTTGCTCAGGAGGTGGTGGATGCACCATCCCTGGAGACATTCAAGACCAGACTGGATGTGGTTCTGGGCAACCTGATCTACCTGAAGATGTTCCTGCTCATTGCAGTGAGGTTGGACTAGATGACTTTTGAAGGTCCCTTCCAACTCAGATTATTCTATGATTCTATGATTCAAGCACAGCCAACAGGGACAGGCAACAACAGGAGAATGAAAGAGCTAAACGAAGGAAAAGCCCCTTTGTCATCAGATTTTCACTGCTTGTGTCTTTTCAGTCTTTGATACAGCTGGGTAGGTAGGGGGAATATACTTTTCCAAGTGACATTTCCAAGCAAACATTCTGCTGTTATGGAGAAACATGGATGAGTCCCAGCCTGAGCCCATGGGTTGTCTACCACGCAGTGAAGTGGCACTGGCAGGACAGTTTTAGCACTGTACTGCAGAGTGACAGATCCCACAGCACGAAAATCCTATAAACAGCTAATCTGGCCCTGATCTTGCTTTCAGAGCAACCTGCTGTAAGCACAGCACATGACTCAAAGGCGTTTAACTTAACAGGAGATAACCACTGATTTATGAGCCAAGGGCACAGGCTGCTATTTCTAGCAACAACACTACCTCACACGTCAACTGGACACTTTCTCTTCTGGTTCCCCTAATGTCATTTGCACCTTTAGACTGCAAATGCTGTGAGCCTGGGGCTGCTCCCTGTACTTTTGTATAATTAATGCTTAATGAGACATGATCACGTTTCCACTGCAGTCTTCAAAGCACTGCTGAATGCAAATTCTACATGCCAGCACAGAGCAATAGGATCAGGGGCCACAATAACAGGAGGACAATTAAATTAAGATATTTTTATGCAAACATTGAATGTGAACACAAACCAGACCTTTTCCTGAGATAAAAAATACTAGTTAAGTTTTACCTTGTTTCCACAAGCACACACTCACCCCAGTTCCATCAAAAAGCAAGGCAGGCAGTGACATGGTTGAGTGCTGAAAGGCTGTTGCCCTCCTGTTCACAGCATGACAAGTTGCAGAAAGATCTGTCACATGAACCCACCCTTGTATGATTTCCCAATGGACTGTTTTCCAATTCTCCTCACCTCAGTGTAAATTTGGAAAAGGACTGTAACTGAACCTGGTCAAAAAATGTTGGAAGTCTCAGGGGAAGAGAAAAATCCACAAAGTTTCTTCCATTTTTTCTTTCCTTCTTTTTTTTTCCTTTCTTTTTCTTTTTCTTTCATAATCGAAATACAGCCCAAGATAGTCTGAATAAAATAGAAAGAGACATTGAAACAAGGGATGACAGTCCAAGCTGTATTTCCAATCTGGTAAAAAAACTAACAGTGCTCAAGACTCCTAGGAAAGAGGAGAATTGTATATAAGCATCATGCCAGTACTGAAGTAAGTAATGAATGACTTAAACTTGGGATTATTATTTATATTATTTTCCAGTAGCTAATACAGCAGAATCGGTCTCAATGTCTACTTGGAAAGTAGACAAAGCTCTGAAGATGATCTACAGGAAGGATTAAAATTCACTGGAGCATTTCAAAGTGTAATGATAAAGGCTGAAATGAAGCACCTCATACCTGATGTTTATTTGCCACCAGAGGAGAGGGATCTCACCCATGACAGAGGGAAAGACACAGCTTCTTCCAAGACTCCAGTGCTTTTCCTTCTCAGATAGGGATGAGACATGGCTGATAGATACGCAAAGAGAACAGGAAGAATTGAAATGCCTCTGGAAGCCACCAGGTTCGTTTGCTATTGTGTACCTAAACAGCACCTGCTGCATGGGGCTCTCAGCTCAGCTGATGATGCTGACAAAGGCTGGTGGGCTGAGGACTAAATGTAGGAGCCTGGCTGTACTTCACCGTCATAGAATCATAGAATAGTTAGGGTTGGAAAGGACCTTAAGATCATCAAGTTCCAACCCCCCTGCCATGGGCAGGGACACCTCGCTCTAAACCATATCACCCAAGGCCTCGTCCAACCTGGCCTTGAACACTGCCAGGGGTGGAGCATGCCCATTCCCTGGGCAACCTATTCCAGTGCCTCACCACCCTCACAGGAAAGAATTTCCTCCTTATATCCAATCCAAACTTCCCCTGTTTAAGTTTTAACCCATTATCCCTTGTCCTATCACTACAGTTCCTAATGGAGAGTCCATCTCCAGCATCCCTATAGGCCCCCTTCAGATACTGGAAGGCTGCTATGAGGTCTCCATGGAGCCTTCTCTTCTCCAAACTCAACAGCCCCAACTTCCTCAGCCTGTCTTCATACAGGAGCTGCTCCAGTCCCCTGATCATCCTCGTGGCCCTCCTCTGGACTTGTTCCAACAGTTCCATGTCCTTTTTATGTTGAGGACACCAGAACTGCACACAGTACTCCAAGTGAGGTCATTACCTATGTGGCAACGCATTAAAGAAGAATTGCTCTGGAGGGTATGATAACAAGTGGTTCCTGCAGCACTGTGCTATCAGGCCACTCGGATGCTTGAGTGGGAAAAGAAGCCACTCTGTGACAAAAGGAAGGGTTCACAGCTGGGTCCCTTGACAAAAGCCAGAGTAACATCTGGTCACAGGGCTCATATGAGCACAGCTAGCCCAGAGCTTTGGGAAAAGCTTTTCCGAAAAAAAAAACATACTGGGTGATGCCTACTGAGATGAGGCTGTGTCTCCAGATCACCTGCATTGGTTACGATGTGTAAATTGGGTTTGTTCTGCTCCTGTCACTCATGAGCAACATCCATCAAAGAAGTCTGATATTTAAATTACAGAAGCTTATTAGCTGCTTGCTGTTATCAAGTTAGTTCTTCTAATGTTTTGCTTCATATGTTAAATAAACCCACTTATTTTGAGACATCTGTTCATCTCCATACTGCACTGATCCCCTTTGGAAAGAGGACATAGAGGCTTCTGTCCAAAAGCCACTTCCACAGGTAATGAAATGTTACATGCTTTGTGCATATTAGAAAATATAGAGTGCACCCCTTCATAAGCCAAATAATCAGGTCTGATGCCTGCAGAGTGCAAATCAGAGAGACAAGAAAGAGAACAGATCCCCCGTTCACCTCCTGGACATCTGCTGAGGCAAACAGCAACCTGTATCAGACCATTACCCTTACGATGGAGACTTTGCAACCTCTCTGGTGTGTTACAGGACCTTTGACTCCAATGAAGTTCAACAAAATTAGAGATTCTTAAGAGTCAGCTTTGCCCGCTAAATCCCTTGACATATCACCATTGCAAAATAGACTTCCATGGAGACAACACGGTCTGAAGTGCTTCTGAACTAAGAAAAACAACTCACCAGGATTCCTGCCATGTAATGGCAAACACTGGAAGCAACACAGAGAGCTCTGAGGTGGTGGCAAATGTGCAGCCAGGCCCATTTGACATCCGTGTGCTACTGTGAGAGAAAGGCAGGCAGGGAAAGGGAGCCCTGACCCTTAAAAACTTCATGGGGCAACATCACTTAATTGCAGCATGGTGCAGGGCGCAGCACCCTACTGCAGTATTTAAAAGTCACAGATCCCCAGTGATACATTATATCTAAATTTCACAAATGGCCACTGCTAAATAAGCAGAGCTCTCTCTGCTTCCTCCCGAGGGATGTCAGAGCCCTCTCATAGGAGGAATGAGCCAGACAGCAAGGAGAAAGAGGAGGCACAGATGGGTGAAAGTTTCTAAATCAGCCTGAGAGCACCAGAAACACCTATAGCAGCATGCCTGCAAAGCTGTGACTGCAGCTCATGCTGTACACAAACCAAATATGTTATCACATGTACGTTAACAGCTGGGCTACCTGCAGCAAAAGCACTACAAAGCTGTGTAGATCTCTTAGAAAGCACTGAGGTATATGGTTTTGAAAGCACAGGAACACATTTCCACTGGTTCAGATAGCCCAGGCTGTGGCCCTTAAGCTAGGTGCAGTTTGTAAACACTACAGGTAGCTGAGGAGGGATGCAGGGCTGTGCTAGTGCTGTTGGGTCAGTAATATGACCATCTATGGTGGAGAGGAACTGAGCCATAGGCATCTGCTGAAGGTGATGGCAACCTGGTTCTCCCCTTTGCAGGGAGTTCTGCAGAATCACTGCAACCACTTCCCAGGGCTCTCATGTACCTCTCTCTGACATCCCAAGGCACTCAAAATGTGTCTGATGGCTTGTGACTACTTTTTCACCTCTCCCTCCCTCTTCTATTGCATGTTCAGGTACTTATAGGCCCCAAGGCATTGACCTAAAGCTCTAACCTTAGGCCTCGTGCTGTTTGGGCATACATTTCAGCAGCCTAGGTAGGGTGCCTGTATTCTTCCCTTGTTTTACCACCACATCCAGACACTTTTAAAGCAAGAAGATGATTTGGCAATGTAAATAAAACCTCTGATTGCTACAAAAGGAGCAAAGCAACCTGCTACTACCAGCATTCCTCCCATTAACTCCATCACTGGTGGAAAGCCAAGCTATCCCTATAGTGAGCTGGGGGAGGTCAGCCAGCAAAAAACTAATGTGAAGGGGATGGGGGGGAGGAAGTAGAAGAGTTTCCTACAGTTAACTCCTTTGAAAAGCACACTGTGAGGTTAAACCAGAACTTTCTTGGTGACAGTCAGCAAGTAAATTGGTTTTCTCTGCCATGGACCCACACCCTTCAAACAATGCAGGATCTGGTCCCTGCCCTGAAGACTAACAGTATAAACAGGAAGAAAAAAGGGAAACGTTCTTCATTCCTGTTTTACGCATGAGATAAGGACATCACCTAAATGACCTGCTCCACTTGTGCAAGTCAGAGCAGCAGGTTTGAAAACAGTGTTCCCAGGTCTAATTGCAGTGCCTTTGCCACAAAGCTTTGCTGATAATAGGCTCAGCAAGGAGACAGAAGAAAGAACGTGACATCCCTTAGCTTTCCACTTTAATTCTCCTCCCATCTGCCTGTTCCTGGAATGTGGAGACAGCACGAGCCTTCTTATTTTTGAGCAGAAGCAAAATGATCACATGAACCACAAAAGCACATTCCCTCCCTGGAAGCAGCCTGCTCCCTTCTTTCCAAGAAAGTAAAAACTCTGCGTGAATGTTGTATGAATCAGCCATGTGTTCATTTCAATGATAAAGCCAGCTTGGCAATTTGGCCTGAAAAAGGGGGGAGCTGAAAACCTACAGATTCCAATTGGCACGTTTTTAGACACTAAATTTCTGTGTCTAAAACTTGGAGACTTTACATTTGGTCACATCTAACTTGGGGAAGTTTCTCTGATTTTAAAGAAATTACAGATTATGTCCCAAGCATTACCCAGAGGTGAACAAAATAGATTTGTTCTTTAAGGACTTCACTGCATGCATGCATACACGGTGCTAATTGGTCACAATTTTGGTGCCCTCAGTGCAGCTTGATTTCCTGATTACACCCCTTTTACATTCCCAGCAGTTCACCATCTGCATAGGTAAATGCCATTTCAAGATGCAGAAAAGGCATAGATGAGGTTCCTACTGGTTTGACTTCCTGTTGTATTGCTAAGCCTAAAATAAATATAATTTAGGGGAAAAAACTCTATATAAAACATTGTAGGTAGGGAGGAATAAATTCCCTAAAGTGATATTTTTCCTCCTGTGCTAACCCCAGGCTGAACGCTTACATATGTCCACTTCTCTCCACTGTCATAAGGAGAGAGGTAAACAGCTTTTATCAGCCATCAGCTCTACTCTAGGGAGAGGGATTGGTAGAAGAAGACAGAGGAGAGGAGGGGTGAAGAAGGGTGTGGAAGAGGAGGGGAAGAAACAGAAGGGGATGGAATGGAAAAGGAGAGGCAACTTTCATGCCTCCAAGAAAAACTCATCCTCAGTGTCCAAATACAAATACCTATAATAGAACAGCTGGAAATCCAGACTCTGGACAAGTATCACCAGCTGTGTGGATAGGTGAGTAACACAGCAAAGATCTACAGTGCGTGACACAGAATGAAATGTAAGGTAACAAGTTGGGCAACATCCATCCTAGTTGAAAACAGCTCTTCCCATTTCCAAACATGCAGATACGCCATGTGCAATTGTCATTATATAGCATCTGCCTCTGGAGAGCTGCTGGACACGTTCTGATGGACAGGACATGAATCATCCTTTGAGTGACCTCATCTCCCAGAAGTAATTTGTTTCATAAGCTCATCTTTCCCATAGTGTGTCTGGGAAATCCTGTCACACAAATCGTATCCATGGAAGCACATGAAACAGGGAAGACCCCACTGCTGTCATGGACCGACATGGTGGTGTTATGGTGGTAGTGTGACTGATAGTGTGTAAAACGGCTGTAAAGAGACTTGCTCTTACCCAGCAAGCCTCAAAGGTGGACGTCACCACCTGCCCTTTGGCAAGCTGCCTCTAAAAAAACATCACACAGAGCACTTCCACCCCTCCTGTGCTCACTGATAAACTGTAATTTTTTTCTCCTTTAGTTGCTGCTTCTGCTTTTCAATACATCAAATTCACTTGAGGTCTCAATGACAACTTCACTGGAGTAGGAGGCTGCCTAGAAAACAAGGAAGAGATGATGGAAGCAATAAGGATAATTTAAATTATTTCAATTCAAAATGCAGAGGGACATACAGGCAACCCAAGAACAGAGAGGAGCCACATCAAAGATGTTCTATCTAGGACCAGGGGTCTCCCCTGAAAATATGGTCACTGTGGGTATCTCTTAAAGTCCCAAATTCTTTTAACTGCAAGAGCCTGGCTCTTATCGCAAGTCTGGGAAAGGTCCTGAATCTGATCACCAGGGAAACCAGGTTTTGAACAGTACAGTGATAGTTAAACTGAATATGGTTCTGGTATGTTCAGTCCAATACCAGCACAACCCCTACCCTAAAAAATTCTGACAATCTAAACAGATTATACAATGGGTAAGAAAAAATGTGAGATTTGCCTGAGGTTAATTTAGAGTTCGACAGTAGCGCCAGAAACCTCATTCCCACATCAACACTTGTAGGTGAAAGGAGGGTGTCTGTACATGGCTGTTTCTAGCAGCAAGACATGGGGAGAAAAGCTTCACTGTAGTGCAGTCACCTTCAAAATTCGCCACCCCATTGTGCTGCCTGTTCTCATTAGTGAGAATGTATAGACAGATCTGTTTGGTTTAGGCCAAGGAGGAATGATGAAAGGGAACATTTAGGAGAACAAGACGTAAGGAAAAATAAAGCCCCCATAAAATCAAAGTGGTCTGGTCTTGTAAGGAAACCAGTTAATGGAGAAAATTCCTCTGAATGTCAAGTTTTGAAGTGATAAGATTGCACAAAGGAAGACAGCTGCATTGCAAGAGGGCTAGAGAAATGTAGGAATGGCAGGGTTGGCCAGGGAAGAGAGCAGGAAGAGCATTTCAGAGCATCATATCCTGCAGTGCCTTCAGAGAAATACAGAATAGATTTAATTGGCAAGCATATTGCTCATTGAAGAGCTAATTAACAAACTCACAAGTCCTTCATCTCCTACAGATCTCACTAAAATTTCTTGCACTAGCCTTGAATTTGCTAATTCCCAAGGAAGCAGCCCCAGGGATGTCCTGTCAGACCAGTGTTGATGAAGATGTAGCTGATGCTTCCATACATACATCTGGAGTTGGACATACTCCACAGTCCTAGGAATAGATTTGCTGCCAGTTAATTTGCTAATTAATGAAAGGTCAGAGGCACTTCATCTATAGCAGAGCTCTTTGCTTGAGAAACTTTGCTAGAAAACGTCTCAGGTGGCATCTTCATACCATACCTGGCCATATCTATTTTTTATTTTAGGCTTCTTTCTTGCCATGGTGGTCTTGGCTAGAAAGTAGTAAAATGAATAGGAATAAAACTGGGTTGGATACCTGAGAATCACACTCATTTAAACAAGCTCTCCAAGCATTTAGAATAACTCATTCACGTCTTAAATTCAGCCAGTTTTTTCCAAACTCTGTGGCTTGGAACCAGCCTGCTCCTATTGGGTTTATGAGATGGGAATGACAGAGATCTTGTGAGCAAACCTGACCATTTCTAACCTGATTAGTGAAAGAGCAAAAAAGCCCTGGATCGAGATAAAATCACGAGACCTTCTGAGCTTTGCTAATCATTACCAATAGCCCTGTGACTTCCTCACTGCCATTTTTAGGCAGCTTCATTGTGCCAAAGCAGTGCTGTTACCTACTGAGCTCCAAAATCACTAAACAGAGGCATAGGCCTGGAGTTTGACCTCAATTGCAACTAGAAAGAAGCTTAAAGAGTAAATCCCTGTAACACTGATGCCCCTCAGGATGACCCAGCTGTTCTGCTGATGATGGAAAAGATCAGCAGAGTAAATGCTTAGAGAATGAGAGTTTAAGTGCTCAGAGCTCACAAGTTTTCTTGGGTAAACCTCAGCCCTGGGCTGTAGTTTTGAAATTAAGAGGATACACCTGAACTCCTAACTGTGGGAAACCCCTTAGTGATGCCCTTTGTCAGTGGCTGTGATGCTGAGCCTAACACTGTCTACTGAGAAACCTGGTGTCAATGTGGAAGAGGACATGAAGAAGACTAAGAACATGGGACATTGTGCACAAATTACTGAATGACCAAGACTCCTGGTAAGAGACAGGGAGTAAAGCTCCCTGGGGCTCTCCAGGTAAACAAACCAACCTTGTTTAACACTGCTTACATGTTTTATCCATCTGTCACTTCTTGGGAAAGGTGTTCAAAGCATGTCCAGCATACAGTTAGGTCACTGAAGAGCTCTGACAGTGGTGGGGCTTAGCCTGTCCAGGGGAGACTGCAGGTGGGTCTGCTGTGTCCCTTCACTGCAAAATCATAGATCATATGGTCCAACCTGTCTTGGCAAATTATGATCTAGACTAGATGGCCCAGCACCCTGTTCAGCTGAATCTTAAGTGTCCAAAAACTGATGAACACACAGTTTGGGGCTAAAGAGGTTCATTAATAAGGTTGTGTTTTACTTCTGCAATTTGGGTCTAAGACAGTTCCTTTGTAAGGCTTTTTGGTCTTTAGACTTTCAGGTGCGCATTGCTCCAAGCCTGTGTGTGCTTTTGGGCATTTCTTTCCAACCAGGCATGAGCAAGGCAGCGGAAGCATTTAGCACCAGTGTGCTTCCCAGTGGAGTCCCAGCGGGGAGTGTTTCCCCCTTTCAAAGCCTTCAATTCTCATGGAAGGGAAATGCAGCCAGCGGGATGTGCCGGGCTGCTGTACTGGGATTTATGTTCGTGTATGGCTCGTTCCTCCTGGAAATAGCAAAATCTTTCCTGTGGAAGGAACAAGGAGTTTGACCCCTCATGCGCATATACACTGTTACGTATTTAAATGGAAGAAAGACTTGGGAGGCACTTGAAACGCCAAAACAAAGCAGGAGAGGAGACAGGACTCACACAGTTCAAAGCTGGTTTTCTACAGATTGCTATGTGGTGTTTTAATTTTTTCTATTTTTTTTAAATTTCTGTTGCTCTTAATTTCATGGTTTTTCTCTCTCTGTCTGTATTTACATACATACTCTAGGAGGGGAAAAATCCCTCTTTTTGTTTGTGTGTGTGTGTGTGTGTGTGTTTGAGAGGAAATAAACTTCCTGAGTGCCTGAATTGAAAAATCAATTATTTATTCTTTATAACAAATTCTTTAAAGAGCTATGGACACAGAAAGATGACCTTAAATTATTACCTACCCACTATACCTCCTGTCTGCCTTTCTACCTCCCCCTCTTCCCCTCCCAAATGGAAGAAAATATCTATCCAAGATCAGAGGAGATTGCACCTGGGAACAACAGGCAACCCTGAGACATGAGCACAGCCTGCAGCCTCCCTGTACCCCTCCTGGCTGTGTAAGTCCAACACCCGTGACTACCACAGCCTGTCTGAAATCCTCCTGGCCGGTCCCAGCGCTGCAACCCAGAGAGCAGCTCGAGCACGGGATGGAGCAGGAAGCCTAAAAACTTAGGTCTGCAGAGAGACCTCTAGTGTTTTTCTTTCTCCATGTCCTGGCAGAGTTCCTCCAAAGTACAAATACGCACAGAGCTCCCATTGTTTGCAGCCCTTCACAAGCCCACTGATCCTAATATGGAATTCAGCAGGAAACCCATGATTTCCTGACACACAGCAAGCTGGAGAAAGAAAGGAAAAACTCCATTAAAAACCTCCAGGCTCTCCTCCATGTTAGAAATGAAATGGAAAATGGAGTGGATTTAACAGGAATCCCTGATTCCTGCAGCCAAGCTGGAGGAAGGGAAACGCGAATCAAAGCCACAGGCTGCTGCTATTTTTTAAGTCGCAATAAATACTGAGAACTCCCAAGCAGGATGAAGATTTCCTGACTCGGACGAATGAGACGGGACAGATAGTATTTTTATGATATTTATCTCTGTATATTTAATTTATTAACCTCGATGATTCTCTTTACTGATCTGGTAATTGTTAGAAGTGGCTGTGACAGCCTGGAAACATTAATATGATTTCCTGAGTTTGAGATTTGCTGCCCCCCCCCCCCCTCCAAACTCAGGAAAAGTCAATACAATCGCACTTCATTTTTCCTTCATGTGCACTTGGAAGTCCTGGGAGAAGCAACAGCAGCAGCAGCAGCAGCAACAGCAAGAATGAACTGCAAGGAAAATGACAACTGCACTGACGGGAGCAGCAATAACGCGAAGAAGATGTTAAAATGTGTGGTGGTTGGGGATGGTGCAGTTGGGAAAACCTGTTTGCTGATGAGTTATGCCAATGATGCCTTCCCAGAGGAGTATGTCCCCACTGTGTTTGACCACTATGCAGGTAAGAAAGCATTTTAAAAGAAATTTAATTGAGAACTGCAGCAGAGCCAGGTGGGAGGTAAAGGAAGCTCAAGGAGAGGAGAGGATTGTTCAAAGGGGGTGCATGGGTTACTTCTTGTCCAGGAATGTGATTCAGGCCTGGATGGTAGCCAGGCAGCTTAGATGGCAGCTCATATAACTGGGGCAATGCAGGATTTATTCAGAGAATTTGTTTGTTTCCAATTTTTATTTTAGTTTTGGTGAATAACCAGTGTTAGGGAGCAATCAAATCCCCTGGATTTTTTGGGACAACAAATACAATTCTGCTTCCCTCAATTTGTATTCTTGGTTTGCTTCTGAAATTCTGAAGTTATGAACTTTGCAGGCTGCAGGTATGAAGACTATATGTATGTACACATAAAAATATGTGCTATCAGTGATCTTGTGCCTCATGGCAAAAGATGCATAGACTGCAATATTTATATCCTATTTAAGTGATAATCGTTGAGAATATATCCTATTTAAGCAGTAATCTTTGAGAAAACCAGCATAGTTTCTTTCTGTGCTGTCAGAGTATAACTTCTTTCAGAGACATTTGTTACTCCACCTATAAATAGATTTTAACGCTATAACTTGATCGTAGGGAAAGCAGAAGTGGTGAATGGTTTGAGTACTTTCTTGTGAGGGAATTTGTAGTATAAGAAAAAATACTAACATAATCAAGATCATCAATGATGTTCACTGCATCGCTGTGCAAAACAGACTCAGATTTACGTACAATATTCACAGGCCTCTTTCTGTAGCAATTACTTGCATTACCCAGCTGTGTCCAAAGTTATCATGCAGCTGGTGTGTTAGGCTAAAACTGTTGCTCAAACTTCTGCTTAAATTTTCCTATCCCAAATTCTGCTGGTTTTCTTCTCTCACTGCTCCTTTGGCTTACAGTTGTTGTTTATGAGATCCCTAAAAATCAGATTCTAGAAGCACTGCAAAACTCATTGCTTATCTTGCAGCAACAGTTGGAGTTTCCCTCATTCTCTCCCCACCTCCTTAAAAACTGAATTTTCATGGCATGGCTTATCATAGATTTGGTATTCTGTAATGGGAAAATCTCTGCTTTCATTCTGGCTTCATGTCAGGTTTAGCAGATGAACTGGCCAAACAAGCAAGCTGTGTAATTGTAGAATCTGATCCATGGAAATGTGAAGTCCTGTTCCTCCACAAGAGTGGGCAGCATCACTTCTAATGCAAGCAACACTTTCTTTCCTCTACCCTTTCCACCAGATAAATGACCATTAAAAAAAAAAAAAACAAACCTTTACCCAAACAAGATATAGGAAAGCATATTGCATGTTCTAAACACACACTTGCATGAGCCAAAAACCCTAAGGAAGCCTGGCTGTGCAAATCTATGACTTATAGTGCAACAGCACTCATTTTCCCGTGAAAGGCTTTGATCTCTTATCCCTCACAGCTTTGCTTCCCAGCTATACACCAGTTGCAGCACTTTCCCTTCTTTCCCTCCATGTCCTGCAAATACCTCTGTGTGCAATAGCTGGTGTCAGACCACCTATGCATCAGCCTGTGGCTGGGTGGTTTTGGTGTGAACGTGGGGGCACATGTGTCTATGGGGCTGTGCACACACACAGGTGCTAATGCCAGACAGGCAGGCTGGCACTCGGTGGAGGCACTACACTGAGTTTCTCTTCCCTACCCAACTGCAGGTGACTTGCAAGGATTTGCTTCAATTTCCTTTCCTCTCTGACAGAAGCAGTAGAAATTGCCAGTGAGCTCAAAAGTTACTGACGGAGAGGAGGGCTGAGAGAAGGATGAGAAGATGAAGAATGTCACTGCATAATCCTTATTTCCTTAGGGTATAAGGTAAAAGCAGCATAAACGCAGTTTGAAATCAAGCTCCATTTTCAGGTTTTGAAGAGTTAGACATCTAAAATATCTCCAGCTATTTACAGCACATAAATATAAACTAAGAATGCTTTCAGTGAGAAAGTTCAGAAAGATAAGGGAAAAAACAGCTCCATATATTAACATGTTATTCTAAGAAAAAACCTATTCAGCAGCAGTGGTCAAAACTAGCACTGATCAAAGACCTAATTTCAGGGTTTTGAGAAATCCCATCATTTATTAAAACAATTTCACTACAAAACTGCACATTGAATTGAGCAGTGGAAATTACTTCTGGATCAGAAAAAGTCCCACTCATAAAACATAAAAATATTACATGGCATAAAGCATAACATAATCTAAAATAGTGTGGGTATTGAGAGAGTAAAGAGCTCGCTTGGGGCAACCTTACTGCTGAGATTACAGACTTCAGGATATTCTGTAGCAGCAGCCTATTCAGCTATGGCAGCCCATAGTCCAGAGGAAAGGTAGTACAGTAGTACCATGGGCACAGCGGTACCATAGGGATGGTGATACCACAGGCACCATGGCATGGAGGGAGCCTTCATACACGGGCAGATCCTGCAGGGTGGTTGAGGCTCTGTAAAATCACTTTTGAATTTACTCTAGGGAACCAGTTTGTCTGCCCCTGCCCTTGCCTCTGCCAAATCCAACTGTTTCAACTTTTCCAAACAAGCTGAAACCGTTTGATTCCGGTCTTCCATGCTGGAAATGCTCAAAAGCAATTAATTGCTACAGATTTTTCTGAAGCTGCACTTTCCATTGAAGGTTTTTCACCCAGGCGTTGTTACCAGCAGTGGTGTGTTAGCAAGCTCTCCCTCTTGCCTCACCAGGTCACAGCCTGGTTGTGAGTCCCAGGGCATTTACCAATTTCCTTCTTTCTAATGGAAAAAGTAAGGAGAGGGGAAAGCATTAAAAATTGAGGACTCCAGTGGTGATCTCAGAGTAGTTTCTCACTGACACGACTCCAGCAGCTCGGGGGAGACAGTGATATTATCCAGCCAAGCATTGGGAAAAGCTCCAGATGCACCACTGCTGTGGCCAAGGCATTAACCATTCACAGCCCTGCAGCTACAGGTACTTGCCCTGCTGTGTAGCATCTTTTTAGCTCCTTCCCTTGGCAGGTTTCCATGGGACAGGTGAAGCAGGTGAACATACTGACAAGGGTGGCCAAGAGGAAGCAACCAGCATTTCAAAGGGCTGAGCTCCAAAAGTATTAGACCTGTACAGTACTTATTCGTTACCTTTCACATGAAAGGGTTTGAAAAAACCTACAAAATTTGGGCCCAACGTCCCTGTAAGAAATCAAAGGCAGTAGATGGATTTCACCTAGGGAAGGAGCAGGCTTCCTGCAGACAACTCATGCAGCATTTACAACTCAGATACAGTGATGTCTGGGAAGAAAAGCTGTTGGCGTTTGCCATGTATGCAGCTGCACTGTACCAAAGTCCAAACCAGTTATTAGGTCCACACTAGTAAGATTCTGCCACAGATTTCACCCACAGTCTACAAAAGCAAATTTGTTCGGGGCCTGTTGCCAGGCTTGGGATGTGACGGATGTAGAGTAGGGTCAGAGGCAATGCCAGACAGATGGGAAAGGCAAATTTGTTATTTGGATACAAAAATGGTTTCTTTTGTTGGATGTATGGAAGTCTACAAGTTTGGTTACTTTTCAAGTTATTTTGAAGAGGTTTTTCTGGAGACCAGAGCCCTGGGGTTCCCTTACATTTGGTGAATTTCCAAAAGTCCACACTGAAAGTGTTTACCACGAGGTAAATGCTATTTCTATGGCAGGCAAACCAAAATGTTATCCCAGTGACAAACAGGATATTACTGGCAATAACTGTAACAATAGAGACTGTTTGGATAGTGAGTAGATGCTTTAACATGCTGGTTCCATTCTGTCTTTCGAACATCAGATGCCGATTTTCCATGAACAAAGGTATCTCACTCGGGGTGACTTGTATTGTGTCTAGCTATGTGAGGTTATAAATGTTTAATTAGGGCTGAGGTTGAACCAACAAAATAATTCAATTCAACTAGCAAAGTTGGTTTAATAATACCAAAATTAACTGGCTTGCCCTGTGAAATACAGAAGTGAGATGTGTGTTGTTACTTAGGCATCCACCAAGCCTCCTATTTGGTATTCGTGAACCCTAAAACCCCAGCAAATTTTAACATGAAATTTATTCCTCCGTAAATTTATATTCAGGCTTCCCAAAGAGTCAGTCGATGCCCCAAGCCTGTCAGTGCTTAAGAAGGAATTGAGCAATGGCCTAAACAAGATGCTTTAACTTGGTCAGCTTCAAAGTAGTCAGGCAACTGGGCCAGATGATCACTGTAGGTCCCTTCCAACTGGAATTATTCTGTTCTGTTCATAAAGTAGATATAAAATAAATATGACCCTCCCTTCCCTCATATGTCAGCACAAACTGGTGAACATTTATAAATAGTGAACCCATTTGAAAAAAATTAGCAGTGGCATGTGATCAGCTAATGAATAGCATACAGAATAGTTCAGCCATGACTGAAGCTCTGTAAATTAAAAGCAATATAGAAGAAGACAGATGTTAATTACTGTTAGCAGACATGGTTTTTGTTCTTTAATGTTGATTCAATCTAATTTGTCTGACTTTGCACCGAAGTGGGCCAGGGCGCTCACTGGTCTCTCAGAGTAGTGATCACAGCCTTACTGGTCAGGCAATCCATGCGAGAAAATAGAGTCTCTTTCTCTGGCATTTTTATCAGAATAGGAGCAGTACTACTGCTCTTGGCCATAGCAGTTACTTGTGCCTGTGCAGATCCATAAATATACTAAACCCTGCCTGTATGCCACAGCACTGATTCAGATCTGTGTTCCTTACATACACACATGAAAAAGAGCAGTTGGAAGTGTGCTGTTATTGATCATGGTGCTGTCAGTGACTGGCCACTCTCAGTCCTGGGGCAGGCAGGAGCATCTGAGGGAGACAGTGCATGCATTGAGCAGCTTTGCCTTGCACCTTCTCCCCATGTGGGAGGAAACACTAACCAAGACATTGCAGAAAACAGATGGGAACTGTAACATCCCAAATTTCCCCATTTACAGTCACAAAAGCA